TCCAGTCTGGGTGCCAGAGTAAGACTCCAATTCAAAAAAAAAAAAAAAAAAAAAGCCGGGCTCGGTGGCTCAGCCTGTAATCCCGCGCCTTTGGGAGGCTGAGGTGAGTGGATTGCCTGAGTCTGCGGGTTCGAGACCCGCCTGGGCAACTTGGTGAGACCTCATCTCCACAATAAATCAAAAATCAGCCGGGCGTGGTAGCGCATGCCTATAGTTCCGGCTACTTGGAAGGCTGAGGCGGAAGGATCGCTGGAGCCCAGCAGTCGAGGCTGCAGTGGCCAGGAGCGGCCACTGCACTCCAGTCTGGGTGACAGAGTAAGACTCCAACTCCAAAAAAAAAAAAAAAGGTTGAAGAGGAAGCCAGATGTGGTGGCTCAAGTCTGTAATCCCAGCACTTTGAGAGGGTGTGGCTAGAGGATTGCCTGAGCTAAGGGATTCGAGACCAGTCTGGGCAACTTGGCAAGACATCGTCTCTATCATTTAAAAAAAAAAAATTAGCCAGATGTGGCAGCGCACACCTGTAGTTCCAGCTACTTGGAAGGCTGAAGTAGAAGGATCACCTGAGCCCCGAGACTGTGGTTGCCATGAGCATGCCACTGCACTCCAGCCTGGGCAACAAAGTGAGATTCCCACTTAAAAAAAAAGAAAGAAAGTCAGTGAACTGGATAAATGGATTCTGCCACGACTGCTTTTATAAAACAGTACTACTTGTCTCTCTTTTCTGTATTTCGCTTTTCCCTTCTCAGCTGAGACTCCTTACTTCCCAGGAAACAGTCAGTCCTATCCCTTAAGGAAAAACACAAAGAATAAAACTGCTACTCACGGGAGAACATCAGGATGGTTACCAATGAGTTTACTCATCGACACACAGAGGCGTTCATGTAGATCGTGATTGACTTGGCCTCCGGCTTTAATGGCTTCTGCATTCCTTTCAAGCAAATCCAAAATGAGAGGGCGAAGCTGGCGACCAATCAGCACAGTGCAGTCTTTATCCAAGAGCAATTGTGCTAAGGTACTCAGGATACACTGGCGATCTTGAGGTGTCCACACCTGAGACGAAGGCAAAACAAAACATCTGTGCAAATATTCACTGGCACTGTTGGAGAAAAGCAGAGAGTCCAGTCTTGGAATAAAAATATTCTATTTCAGCCGGAATCGGTGGCTCAGCCTGTAATCCCGTGCCTTTGGGAGGCTGAGGTGAGTGGATTGCCTGAGCCCGCGGGTTCGAGACCCGCCTCGGCAGGCGAGACCTCATCTCTACAGTAAATCAAAAAATCAGCCAGGCATGGTAGCACATGACTGTAATTCCGGCTACTTGGAAGGCTGAGGTGGAAGGATCGCCAGAGCCCAGCAGGTCGAGG